AAAAATCTGATCGAAATAGTGTTATGGTTGTTAAAATGTCAAATTTAACTAAAACTTTAAAAGTAAGATTTATTGAAAAATCTCTTCCATAATGAGCTTGTCCTTATAAGAGATTGAATTAGGTTGCACAATTTTAATTACATCTTGAAGTGAAAGAATAAGATGCATTCGTGACTACTGTAAATTCTTGAGGACTGTTATGTATTAACATAATCTTTTATTGTATGTAGATGAAGATGACATTGAAAAAGGAAATAAAGTTCGCATCGAGGTATTTTCTATCACTGACGTGTAGAATGAGAAAAAATGGAAGCGAAAGTTTTTTACTAATAACTGAAGAACTGTTCAAAATGTTACATAATCGAACGTCGAAATGACCAATCTCTGATTGTATCAGTAGTAAACTATGTGTATTTCTCAAAATCGGATGAAAGAAGAAGTTATTTTGAAACAGGTGTCTGGTAAAAGCGAAGTATCTTATCACAATAAGAGATAAACTCAAATATATTTTTTTTCATTTACAAATATCAAAAATGTTCAAAGACAATTTTAAGAATCAAGACAATCATAATTTTGTGATAGCTAATAATTCGAATATAGAACTATAGATATTGGATTATGATTTTTTGCAATGAGAGTTAATAATGACTTAAAATGTAGACAAGAAATCATGCATGTCGAAGTTTGAGAATGTTTGGAAGCTACATGATCAGAAACAGAGATCGATGAAGAGCAGAAAAACAGTTTCGCTATCGCCTCGCAAAGAACCTAGCATAAAGACGGATGGTTTTTTTTTGTACTGAACATATAAACAATACGTTGTTTACTTGCTGTAGATTTATTCAAGTACGGCTGGAGTTTTTGATAAGACAGGTATAAACATGTATTAAGAGTCACCTTCGCGTTTACAGTAGGATAATACTATTGATGTCGATTATTGAATATATGAAAAAATTATTTTAAGATCTAACAGTCAATATTAGATTTTGATTGATAGGTTTACAATGATGTTTCAATTATTTGATTTACATACAAGTAACGCTCGTCGGCAGGACTCGCTTAATCCTCGACAGAATTCAATCTTGTTATCATGTGTTGTCGTTTTCTGAGTTCTGCTTTGACAATTATTGTGCAACACATGTACCGACGAAAATCTGTCTATATGATTGTCAGTGATGACCATTTTGTAAAAGACTCGGACCTTTCTATTTTTCATTCTGAATTTCTAAGATTTACTGAAGCAAACAGCTCGCAGTCGATTGTCGTGATTGAATTAAACTCATGCCCTAATCCTCTGAGACCGTAGTCCGACGATGTTGTTTCTTCCTCTCAAATTTTCACTTTTGTCTAAAACTATTTGTATTTCCAGATCTTACTTACAAGATCCAGATATCGAAAATAACTGACGATCGATCTTTTGGGCGTTGTTTTTTTGACCTCGATATTCTTTTGCCCCTCAGTCGAGGGAATATTTGATTAAAACAACTACAATAAGCTATTAGACAGGATGAGCAAAAGCTATATAGAAATGCGGGAAACCCGTTTTGGTTTGCTGATCTCGGTATTGTGGACCATGACCGAGACCGCAACACGTAAACTTTCTCTTAAACTTTTCATATTTTTCAGCGTATAATATTTTAATTACATCATATCCTCGTTGAATCAATCAAAATAGAAATATTTGAAAAAATACCTCGAAACAAAATACAAAAGAACACACTTTCTCCATAGCTTTGCTTCTTTATAAAAAGTCATTATTTTCTTTTAAGAACGCCTTATCTAGTGAAAAAAAATTATAAAAAATTTTTCAAAAGTGATGATGCCAATCGATTCCTCGTCACCGAAAACATTTGGTCAAGCTTTATTAGATATGTGTTTTTTTGACCTTGACAATACCCATATACAACCACATTTTATTTCATATGACCCTCCCTACAGTCAAGGAATAAAAAAATTCGATATCTCACCATCATGTCCTTCTTTCTCGACTATTAGACGAAAATTTCAATCAGGATATATCTTCCTACTTGACAGTATTGTCAAAAAAACGACACTGCTTTAACTACAAACAACGAACTCATATTTTCTTCAATTCTAGATCCAAAATGTTCCACTGACTAGAGTAGTCCTACACAAAGCATCACCAGTTAGAAACTCAGCTAAAAACAAGCCTCATCTATGGACACCCAGTTATGAAACAGCTGATTAAGGGAGAACTTATCACATATGTCGGATTGACTGAATTTTCAGTCTGAAAAATCGAATTGGTTGAAAGTTCAATATTAAAAGCACGAGCATCGAACACTTAGCCAACGCTTTTTATGACGTTTCACCTTTCACTCTGACAAAAACAGACAAAAATTTATTTTATTTTATATAACCCTTCGTACACTCGAGAAAAAATTATTTTCTCAAAAAAACCTTTTCTCCTGAACACAAAAAAAATCAACTCAAAATTTTGAGAAACTGACTTCAGATTCGGATTCTCCAACCTCGATTTACTTCCGTCAACCTTTACAAAATATCATTATTTTCTCAAAAAACCCCTTCCTCAACCCAAAAAAATTCAATTCAAAATTTCGAGAAACCGACTTCAGATTCGAATTCTCCGATCCCAATTTACTTTCGTCAACCTTGAGAAAAAAATTTATCTTTGACGTTTTTTTGACCTTGTGTTTTTTTGACCTTGACACAAAGTCACACCCACACAAACTATTTTTTTTTCATATGACCCTCCCTACAGTCGAGGGAATTAAGATAATTATGAAGAAATTTATTCTATTCGTAACTCCTTTGTAATTTCAAAATCAATATTAATCTTCAAATAAAATTTTTAAGAAAATTTTCTATTTAGGAAAATGCATCAGACACAGAATCAGATGAAGATGACGATGATGATGAAGAAGAAGAAGATACGAAACCAGAATTCGAATCAGTTTCATTAAAACATATTGGTTGTATTAATCGTATAAGAGTAAGTAAATAATAATAAACAAATATTCAAATAAAATAAAAACGAAAATTATTAATTCTTTTGTCAGTCAACAGTTATTAATGATCGCAAAATAGCAGCAACATGGTCCGATACAGGCAAAGTTCATATATGGGATTTAAGTCGATTACTTCATGCTGTTAATGATTCATCTGTTATGGCAACTTATGTTCGTAATCAAGAATCACCTAAACCATTATTTACATTTAATGGACATATGAATGAAGGTAAGAAAAATGAGAAAAAAAAGACATATTCTTCTTCACAAAAAAGAAAAATATTTAATTATTAGGTTTTGCAATGGATTGGTCACCAACGGTACCAGGTAAATAAAATATTGTATTTACTTTAAAAAACAATAATATTGTTTTTTTTTAAATATATTAGGAATGTTAGCAACAGGTGATTGTTCAAAAAATATTCATGTATGGAAACCAAGTGAAACAGAATGGCTTGTTGATCAAAGACCTTATATTGGTCATACATCATCAGTTGAAGATATACAATGGTCACCAAATGAACAGAGTGTAAAGATAATTTAAAAAAAAAAACTTAATTTTTTGTATTTTTTAATGAAATTTTTTCTATTCAAAAGGTTTTCACTTCGTGTAGTGTTGATCGAAGTATTCGTATATGGGATATTCGTGCTATGCCATCAAAAGCTTGTATGTTAACAGAATCTGATGCACATACATCTGATGTTAATGTTATTAGTTGGAATAAGCATGAACCATTCATTATATCTGGTGGTGATGATGGTTTTATTAAAGTTTGGGATCTAAGACAATTTTCTGTATGTACAAAAAACCTATCATTAAAAATCAAATTTTTTATTTTAATTAAATTCTAGAAAAAAACACCTGTAGCTTCGTTTAAACATCATCGTTCATCAATAACAAGTGTTCAATGGCATCATACAGATTCAAGTGTATTTGCTGCAGCTGGAGCTGATAATCAAATAACATTATGGGATTTAGCTGTAGAAAAAGATGATGAAGAAGATAAAGAACAAACAGCTACTGCTACTACTACTACTAAGAATAATAATAAACAATTAGAAAATTTACCAGATCAATTATTGTTTATTCATATGGGACAAACAGATATAAAAGAAATTCATTGGCATAAACAAATACCTGGATTATTAATTAGTACTGCTCTATCCGGTTTTAACATCTTTAAAACGATCAGTGCTTAAAAATTCAGTGTATTTCTTTTTCCGAAATAAAATTAAAACAAAGTTTCGTTAAGTTTATACGATCAATTAAATTTACTATCAAATTTTATTAATATCTACATGTGTGTTTTTTTCAGGTATAATAAGTTATGATTAAATAAGAAATCAAGAAGTTGTCGAATACAGTTAAAGGAATTTTGTAGTCTCTTTAATATTAGAGATTGAATTATCCTTCTTAAATATTCATGAAAAGACTATTTACAATAGTATGTATTAACGAGTTGATTCAACAAGAGTAGCAATTAGTGAAAGAAAAATATCATAAGATTTTAAACATATTGAGTACGTCATCAAAGCAATCGATGACAATAGACGTCAAATTTCTTTCTGAGAGTTTCTGACTTGTGGCATTAACAACACGACTTAGGCTGTTTTCATTTTTATTGTTTCGTCAACGAAAATTCTTCTATGTATAAAACTTTCTTTTTTATTAATCGTCACTCTCATCATAACACATACGGCAATCTACGAATTTATTTCTTGACGATGTTGTACTACATCAGAATGGTATTATCACATTTTAAATCTTTGCAACGAACAGTGTAGGAATTGAGTATGAGTATAGATACCTTAACGCATATTAACGGATTTCTCTTGGCTATTGACTTACTCGATAGACGGAATATCAGTCAAGATACAAAGGAAAATATTTGTTAATATTTTTTGCAGAAAAAAATTCTTTAGTTTTTCATATACATTTCGAAAAAAAAAGGCATAAAAATGTTAATGATTAGAAAAAAATAAGCTAATTGTTCTGAAATAGTTTATCTACTAAACAGCTGATTTAGGAAATTTCCATCGAAAGATACTTCCATCAGCACCCACTGTAATAATATGTTGTGTATTTGGACATATTTTAACTTTTCGTATTTCACTACCATGACCAATACCAATACTATATACGTCACCTTCATTATAACGCCATAACTAAATTTAAGAAAAAAAATCCATTATTTTCCTTATGAGAATAAAAAAAAACAAATACTTACTTTTACTAATTTATCACCACTAACAGTAACAAAATAATTACCAACACTATCAACATCAAGTCCATTTATTGTTCCACTTTTTGATGCTTCTAATTCACGTATTTGTGTACCACTTGTTGCTTCCCAATATGCAACTTTTCTATCACTACCACCTGTTAGTATATGATATTCTTCTGGATGATAAGCCACACATTGAAAAAGTGTATTTTCAAATAAAACTTGATTACGTGCAAAACGTCTGCAAAAAAAGAAACAGAGAAAACAAGTTTAGAAAACAAAAAAAAGAACTAAATTATTATTTACTTCAAATTCCAAATAATACAAGTACCATCAAGTGAAGCAGTAACACATTCTGTATCTGATTTATTAATACGAATAGCAACAACAGCATTTTTATGTTCTTTCATTGTTGCTAAAAGTTCACGTGAATTCGCATTTATTTGCCATATACGTATCATTCCTTCACCACCACCACTAATTATTCGTCGACAATCATTTGTTACAGTAACAGCTGTTACACCACGATTATGTGCATCATTTATTGTAAACATCTCACGACCTGATTCAGGATAATATGCACGAATACGACCATCATCCCATCCACTATATATAATATATATATACATGAGTTTTGAAATGAAATATTAATATTAAATCTTTACCTTATAATCATTTTTCCATCACGAGTAAAACATATAGAATTACATGTTTTATTGGCTTGTGAAATTCGTAATAATTCATTACCAGTTGATGCATGCCAAATACTATGAAAACAAATATATATATTTATATGGGTGCATTCTATAGTTCAATATACGATTCAGCACTGATTATTGTCTCTGATGTCAATGTAGAGCAAACTAAATTACGTGTCTATAGAAATCTGTTGATTTTTTTTGCAAATCTTCTTCGAAATGGAACACCATGTTCATTCAACGTTGATGAGTTTTAAAATAATTTTATCTTATATAGTATCAGACAAAAAAAAACATCTGATGTTCTTCTCTTTTGATTGCTGAAAACCGGAGGTCACTAAATGTTATCGTTATCAAATGTTTTGTCTAATTATTGTGTTAAAAGCACTTCGTATAAAATTTCTACATATAAATATTATCTTCTCCACTTGTCTCATGGACGATGATATATGTATGAGTCTAGTTGTTGTTTATAAACTTAGCCTTGCGTTAAATAGCTGAGTAAGAGTTGCCGTATGTTTACATATTAGATGTAAAATACATTTAACAAAAAAAAGGTTGTAAGAGAACACTTGAAGACTCATGCTTCTAGTGAGACATAGAACTCAATAAAATAACGTTTTTTTTTAAATATCTGGCTATGACTATATAGAAAAGTAAGCATTGGAGCATAAACCTAATTGATCACATCCATATATATATTCCAATAGATTTTATTTATCTTACCGAATATCTTGATAACTACATGTACCAAATAATTCTGATGTTCCACTATAAAAGATGTTTGTTAATTAATTCATAAAAAACGGTTTTGAACTTACAAAGGAAAAGCAATATCATTTATTGGTGAATTATGACATGTATTAATTAATTCCATTTTCCAATCTGCATAATTTACTTTATAAATATGTGATCGATCAGTACCAATAAAAATCTATATAAATAGAATTTTATTCGCTTTTTCAATATTGTAGAATAAAAAAAACTAATGTTCTTTCTTTTTTCATACCATATGACCTTCGCCTCTTAATGCTAACGAAGTAATATTACCCAGAGCTTGTAAAGATCTAAATAAATCAGATTTTGATATGAATAATCGATTAATAGAAAAAATTTACTTTAATGATTTAAATGTTTCTTTTTCAGTAATATGAACTTTTCCTTCACCTGTACCAATTAAAACATCACCATTAATTAATGCTTGCATTGAAGTAATACCCATAGAATATTTTTTCTTTTCAGGTCCAATAGATTTAAATTGAGTAGCTGGAATATAAATCATAAGTATATCTCCTGTTGTTGTACCACAATAGAGAAAGACACCATCAAGTGAAACCTTAATTAAAGTAAAAACAATTTTCAAATCGAAGCACAGAAAAAAAAATGATTCAGAATCATAACCAATATGCACATATTTCTTATACTACTACTAGAAACTATTGCAAATATTTATATCTGTCTCTTATTCTTGTTGAGTTTGTAAAATCAGTTCTTTGAATCTATAAATAACTTAATGAGATGGTTGATTCCTTTCACATTTATCTAATGATCAGTAAAATATTTTCAATGTTACTTACAGTCATACATTTAACTATTCGTTTTACAATACCAGTATTAATATCTGTCGGACGAATTTTTCGATTTGCTACATCTAATTGCCAAAAACGAAGTGTACCACTAAATTTTTGCATTAGTATTATTATTTAAAAAAGAAGACAGATTATTATTGCTTATTTACTTTCCACCACTATAAAATTGAAATTCATCTTCTTTTGATACAGCCAAACAATATGTAATACCAGCACTTTTATGTTGAGCTGCACTACCACATACTGGTTCTTTTGTTTCTATATTCCAAACTATAATAGCACCATCATCTTGTCCACCTAACGATATTAAAAATCTGTCAGAACAAGTAAAAACAAGATCTTCAATTTTGACCTTGTGTAAAACAAGTCGTGCATATGGTTCACGACTAGTATAATCCCAAACAATTATATCAGCCTATTGTATTTCAAATATCTTTTTAATGATTGATGGTTTTAAAAAAGAAAAAAAGTTTTTTTTCTTTTTCCTACCTTAAAACCCATAAATGTGACTTGACCTGAGGCTATATATTTTCCATTATTTGAAATAGTCAAACAAGATACATTATTATTATGTCCAAGAAGAAATTCTTGCTGTCGAGTTTGTAAATTTTCAATAACTAAATTACAACCTAATGGATATATCATATGAATACGATCAGGATGAAGTTTAAGGCCACGTAGAACTTTTCCTAAATTATCAAAAAAATGATATAATCATATTGAAAATTTTTAGTAACAAATATTCACCTTCGAAACCAATCGTTGATTCAAGTTCGAGTCGTTGTAAATTATCAAGTCGTTCTGGTTGATTATTCGTAGTCGACATTGTTTGATGATGAAACTAACGAATTTATTACACCTATTCACTTTTTTTTTGTTAGGATTGAATTTGTCAGAATCTTGACAACCATTTTATATGTACAACTGCTTAGCAATGACCAAGAATATTATCATTATAATATTTATTTCAAAGTATTGAAAAATAACAAAGATGAATATTAACTAGATTATAATTTCTTAGATGTAAAAATATTACAGTCATTTTTGATATTATTTATTTTGATGACTAATGACCTCTATTGAAGATTTGATGAAAAATATCAATATTACATTTGAACAAGCTTTTAAAGCAGGAGTAGAAGAAGCTCTAGGCTGTTTACAAAAACTACTAAAGTTTGTATCATAGATACAATAAACAGTTGTTTTTAAGTTCAATCTGACTTTGTTGAACTTCGATACCAAAAATAATAGCATTATTCAACACAAAGTGAGAAAATGACTTCAGATGTAGAGTTTTTGAAAATATACTATTTTTTTGCCTATTGATGTGTAAAAATGTTGATTTAATTGGCTATGTCGCCTGATATTTTCCCTTGCAGTGTGATAATGCGAATAGTCTAGAACTGGTAGACACTAAAACCGAATGATTATTCACTTGTTTATTGGAAAACTAAATAGTCGTTTTCGAAAAACTATCATTCCAAGAAATAATAAGAAGTCTTTTATCAAGTGTCAGCAAATCAAAGAAAATATTGTTCATAATTTCCAGGACCTAGACTCGAGTTAATCGACACCCTGCAGATATTTTCACAATAATAGTAAAGTTTTCAAACATCTATTCTAGATACAAAAGTATACTATTTAGTTTCTTCCATTAACAAAAGCTTGTACCTTTTTTATTTTTTATTTAATTTCTGGTGAAAAATATGTGATAAGGTTTATTAACACGATTATACTATCAGTAAAAAGTCTTGTGATATTAATATTTTGTTGGAAGTGTTTTTGAATCTGAGTTTGTTTAGAACGTAGATGTACTTTTGAATTAAAAACGAATTATCAATCAAGAAGTAAAAAATATCTGTTTTTTTTTCTATCGATATTAATCTTCATATAAATCATGAATATATAAATTTATTGAATAGATTCAAGGTCTAACGCATATTCTACTTTCTTCTGTATCTGGTCATGATGCATCGCATCGTCCTGAAGAATTAGTAACAAATTTGAATAAAAATAAAATTGGTATTGCTATTAGTATGGTAAAGAATGCTTTTTTTGTTTGACGCTTCTAAAAAACTCAGAGTGCTTTGCTTATGTTTTGCTAAAGGTTTTTCACTTGTCGAACAAGGCAATGTGATTCGTTTAAAGACTTCATTTAGTATCTCAATGTCTGAAAGAGTTAGAAAAGGAATGGTATGGAACGAACACTACATGTACGAATACAAACCTATTTTTCGACTTGCATGGCTTAATGCACTTATTACAGAATGTTCACGTTCTACATCATTGGGTGGATCAAAACATTATGAAATTAATGAAAGAAAAGATGTGAATTAAATAATGAATGTTCTATACTTTCAATCATGAAAACAATATGTTAGTACAAAATATTTAAGACCAATTTCAAATAATTATTGTTATTCAACGTCGATTTCATCAACGCCTATTATTATTGGTACTGATGCCTCAAGATACAACTGCAAGTAATTATATCAAATAGATTAAACAATTTCCATCAAAGAAAAAACCAATATAGTTTGATTTACTTGATAATGCTGTGAAAGTACTATTGATTAGTCATGTCGAAAGAAAATATTAAATTTTGAACCATGAAGTATTAGTACTATGCTATGGATATCAGATTTTGCAGGTCGTTTGAAACAACTTGATAAATTAGTAACATTAACAATAGCTGAAGGTGTTCAGCCATTACGGATATGTTCTAAGATCAATGATTCCGTGAAGTTTGTAATAAAACAAATTGTTTAGTAAGTACAAATATTTCTTGGTGAGTTATTTATACCACAAACTTATCTTATTGTAATGCGTCTATGTGCAGCTCGATGAATACAAATCATTGGAAGAAATTTTTATGGATGTGCAAGCTGATTCAAAATTGATACGTCATGAGTCATATCCATAAGGAAAACATTTAAAAGAACTAAGTACTTTAAATTACTATACTTGACGTCAATAAAACTGTAGTTTTAAACGAGTTACGAAAAACAGCATTGTAACTTTCTCAATAAATCCTGGCTATTTATAATGGTAGAAATATTCAAATTTTTCATTGTTGAAGTCACTTTTGATCCACCTTGCACATGACCGACACACTATAGTTGTAATTTTCATTGTGAATTATTTAAAAGCATCCGGGAAAACTCTTGTAAGTTCCTATGGAGTTCGTTACAAGTTCGTCGAGAGTTTTTAAGGAGTTTCTTATGATTCTTATTCGGATACAGGTGAATATAAGACACCCACCTTTCTCCACACGTATTTTAGCTACATTTAGATGCTCACTATCGTTATAGAGTGCATGAAGTTCATCAATATACATTGTCTGATTTTACTTTTTCTGCTGACTTTACTCTTAGAAATATAGAAGTCGACTTCTTAATGTATGACATGAGTGTCAATGTGAGTATTCTTTTCAACCTCACACATCCATCCACGCAACCCAATTCTCAGAAGTTAAAATTTTAGCGAGAGATAATATTGGCCTTTATCAGTGAGATTTTTGTTTCATATCCGATGAAGCATGGGTTTTTAGGTTTGTAGTAATCCCTCCAAAGTATTCCATGATGTTGAAGTATATGTTATCCGAAAGACTATGAGCAACGAGAGCTACGAATATCATACCAATATAAATACCTAATTGAGAAACCAGTGAATAATAAACAACTGGCAAATCATCGGAAATCTGTTGAAAATTAAGAGTATCGAAAGACATTAAACGATGGACTATCGATATTCATAAATGCCATCATATTTTCCTTACTGAAATTATGCTAAAATGGTAGATATTCGAGCTCCACACACAACTGGATTTTTACGTTGATGGGAGACATTTCGTAGAAATGTGAGAGAAATGCGTTAGAGATATCCTAAAACTTGAGATATCAATGAAAGATAAATAGAGATTTGTGCAAGCAACACAGAAGAAAGACATATATTGACAGAAACAATGTCAATTTTCATCGTCTGCGTAGTATTCTTCGATGGCCCGAATGTCTTCTTCCTCGTTGTTATCGAACACACTTTCGTCTACTTGAGGTATCGCCGTGCCGCCTTTGCTCATCGCATTCTACAAATAGAATTACACAAAAAGAATGAAGTTAAGTAGCGGGAGAGCTCTACATACTGCTTGTTTTATATGAAATACTAAAGAAAGCATGCCAATCACGATGGTTACATCTGCTCTTAACGTTTGCAACTCTTCTTTGATTGAAGTCGACGCAATAAAATTTCGAATTCTAATTATCGTCTTTCCACTTCGACATCTGTCAAACAGTACTAGTGTGCGATGTGTAATGCGATAAAGTTTCATCGATACACGACGTAGTTTATGCTTTTCTGCTTTTGCTTGTGCACTGGGATCGAGACTTGATAATATGTCATGAACAATTGCTAAATCATCGGCCAAATCTCCAGAAACTTTTTTATTGGATAGAACCATCTCTGCTTTGTCGATACAACATTGGATGAGCTTGATAATCGTTGGAATATCAATTGGTATAGACATATTACTCTATCTGAAAGAACCCTCTATTACAATAACTGCGCAAATATCATATTCAAGTGCGATTGAGTCAGAAGTGATGAAATATTTCAAAGTATGCAGCAGAAAAATCAATAGAAAATGAAGAAAAGAAAAAAACATACTCAATTTTCTCTTGCAATGGGAGAAAACCAACAAAGATACTGTGGACACTAAATTGGTATTGGTTGTACTGACTATGACACATTTTATAAACAACAAACATTCTTTTTTTCCGAATGCTGTCATGACTTCCTTGTATGCTGTTTTCTTGAAAGATTCTTTTCTGACAAAGAAGTCTGTGCATTTGAGTTCTTGTTTTCCATTAAGCCATCAGTGCTAAGGGCAAAGGATTATTATCTCTCTCTTCAAGTATTGGAATTATTTCGTCCTTTTCTAGAAGAGCTCACTAAAAATTTTTCAGTCAGTGGATCTGGTTGATGTTTCTTTCAGCACCTTTGCTTTGAACGGTGGCCGCTTTATAGTGGCGTTGTCTCATATCAGACGAGTAATATTTTTTTATTATATACCAACTTGAATTATATGAACTTGAACAAAGACAATTGTTTATACGATTCTAATCACTTGGTATTATAGAGAACTTGTATGAAAATTCCTACTAGTTTTATGAGGATCAGCTGTTGTATCACGAAGGATGAGAACGGCAACGTTGAGTAGAACTTCAGTCGAAGAAATTGCTGCATGAGGATGTGAGTGAGGGTGGAGTAGAGGTGTCTGAGCGTGGATGAAGCATATATTCACACATCTGTACTTTTATGACTTTGCTCGTGAAATGAACTATTGTCGTTTGTTTCAGTATTTTAAAAGTTTTACTGCAGTGCTTAGTAATATTTCAAGTATTTATAATAATAATGTATAGGAAAAAGTAGAGAAAACATTAGTCATAGCTAATGAATCACAACCGATATATCTTTACCAGTACTTACCAGTGCCGTCAATATCGATATCTCAATATCATAAACACCTGCACGACATCCAAGACGCAAATAACAATGCTAATGTACGATACAAGTATCTTTTTTGGTGTACGTCAAGATTATTGGTACGAAGTCTGCATCAGAGTTTGAAAATCTACAAGTCTGCTGTGTTTGCTAAGACGAAAGAGCAATTTCAATGCAACTGCAGCACTCTGATGAAAAGGTTGTGAATAAAATATCGCTTTACCTGCTGCATACTGCACTAGTTACGCAGTGTCGTGCTTCACACAAAAGAAACAAAGCAAATAGTATAAATTCAAATGTGTTATTATTTCTTCAGGTGTTGTATGA